TTTAATAATATGATATTTAGATACATATATAAATAAAAATAAATAAATAAATAAATATATATATATATATATATATGAATAATTTCAAGAAAAATAAAAATGAATATAGAGATTATTGTCTTTTAATAAAAACATATACAAATTAATTGTAATGCAATTTTATTAATACTTTTTAAATACTTTATTTTACATATTACATTTTAAAATTGTACTATTGTGTGTTTCATTTTTTTAACAGTTATTATAATGTTATTAGGGTGTGTATCCTATACATTTTACCAAAATAAAAAATATATATATTATCATCACATGTGTATAATTTTAAACATTTAATATTGTGTATAAGTTTTTTACATGTAAAACTAATTTTTTTAGTATTGGTCAAAAGTTTGTTAATCTCCTATTGAAAATTAATAAATTTTTTTAAAGATAAATTAATAATATTAGATACTACTATTTTTTATGATAGATAATTTAATAAATTTAGTCTCTTAATTACAAGTCAATATCATCATTATCATATATAACCATTAATTAAAAATAATTTAAATTATTGATTACTCAATATTAATTGTAAGATCAAATAATATAATTGGTATTGACTATATACATGACATATTATTTGATTTAAACTTAATTTTTTTAAAAAATTCAAAATAATAAAATTATATATTTAACTATCAAAAGGAAAAGAAATATACAAAATACAAATGATGTGAGGAGAAAAAAATAAAATAAGAAATAAAAAAGGAGAAAAAAAGAAAAAAATAATGATTAAAATGTTGTATTGATAGAGACATAAAAAAATATTAAAAATATTATATATGAGTGATATATGAAAGAGAAGAAGAAAATAAATATTTACAAATATAAATGAAAAAAAAAAGAGAATTGAAAAAAGAAAAATATAAATTGATAAAACAATGACTATGTATTCAGAATATAATAACTAAAAAATAAAATATGATCATCTTTGAACGCGAATGAACATTGGAGAGGAACATTTCAAGTTATTTTCTTTAAACATGAATTAAGTATATAAGTTCTATTATATATTATTATTATTTCAAAAGCCTATAAAACAACTAATAAAATTAAATCAAAACATAATAATTATGACATAAATAATTTTTAATAAATTCAATAACGAATATAAGACATTCATTTTGAGTTAAAAATTATTAATTTCTATATAGTAAAAAAAAGTGTAGCAAGTTATAAAAAAAATATATTATATAAGTAAAAATGTTAATATGAAAGAATATATAATTTCTAAAAATTTGAAATGATAACTACTAAACCTTTGTATTATAAACAATTAGATAGATAAGATAAGAAAAAAAAATTATAAGAAGAATAGTCAAGTGTAAAAGAATATAAAAATCATTGATGATTTAAATTAATTTAGCTTTTCTATTTCTTCTTTATTCTAATTTGAGTTGGATGCATCTACTGCGTTCGTGACAAGGTACTCTTCAATTATCTTTATAAGTGTATGATTTAGAATGTGTTAGTTTTTTATTAGCACGAATTTTCAAGTATATAATTAAATACATAAGTGGAAAAACAATAACCAATAACTTGTTGAAAAACATACAATGAAATTTTTTTAACACCGTATATAAATTAAACTTTTCTTTTTAAGCATAGGCATATAAATAGGCATATAAAATCCGGTAACAATAATATAAATTAAAGTTGATCCTTCAAACTTAATTAGGCTACGGGCATGTGAATTATGACTACACGTTTGATTCCGCACAATGCGCTAACTCCACCAATTTCCTAATCATTTTTTCCGATACATCTACTTCATAATTCATATCCTATTTTATAATATTGTATAGTATTGGACGGATACGTGTATGTTTGTCTAAACTAATTACCTAAATAATATAAAAAATATTATAATAAATATTTAATTATTAACTAAATGAAAATATTATATTTTTTTTTACATTTTTATATATGACCATGCTTTTAATATTAAACATATATTAAAGACCATAGATTTCTTTGTTTCTATATTAAATTTTAGCATTTTAATAAATTATTAATAAATATTTTTTGTGGTCCCAAATCAATCGTGTTTACATAAATAAACAATACAAAAAGACAAAAACGGTTCCTGGTTTATTGGGGTATACATGCATACAGCTGTTCTTTTTTATTTATTTATTATTTTATTTCAGTCAGCTAATGTAACTATTTCAGCAAATCTTTATAATAATAATTATTATTATTATATTTATACATGTGACCTACTTAAGCATCAATTATGTTGCAAAAATATCATAATGCTTCTGTATGTAGCTCACATATGACATAACTATATATTTAATGGTTTCAAAAAGTGAAATTGTGAACTTCAAATCAAAACGAACATGCCTTCAAACTCTGTTGAAATTATTGCCTTAAATTAAGTTTCTCTAGAGAATCATTCGATTTAGATTATGTTTGGTCAATTTTTTTGTGAATTAAAAATAATTTTTAACATAAAAATTATAAAAGAGCTTTAAAAATTAAAATAAAGTAGAAGTTATTTAGTTCACGCCAGTTTTTTGAACATAGACTATGTATACAGTTTGTCTTTCAAAGTTATTTATATATATATATTTTTTTAAGTGTTGTTATTTTTTTATACCTTTAAATTCTTTAAAATGACAATTAAAAGGACAGTTAAATTCTCTAAAATGATAATTAAAATGGAGCCTTAAAAATTGACTCTTGCCATGGTAGCAACTTGCACACTAAACTTGCGTTTTGGACATCTTGGGTGCAAAAGTTGCGGCCAACCAAGTGAAGATTATAAAAATGTTTGTGGCCAATTAGAGTGTAAGATTGTGATTTACACCATTAACTAAACTAGTAGATAATCATATCCTAGCTAGGTATTTGTTCACACCTCACACTGTACTTTTGCCAAAAGACAAAATCTCTTGATTCAAAACCAGACTAAAGCACCTTTTCATCTGAATTTCAGATAATATATCTTATTTAACAAATCTACTATTGTTTACATCATGTAAACTACTATTAAAATTTTGTTTTTGTGTTCAAATTAAGTGAAATGATAAGTAAAAACAAAATGTAAAAGTGTTAATGTTATTTTATTTTATTTTTATCATTTTATTAGTATATAATACTTATCAACTTTATTATTGATTAATTTGTATTAAAAATTTCATCAGTTATTTTTAATATGATATTTCTTTTTAATCGTTCTTTTTATTTAAGATTTTAATGTGAACTTTTACTTCCGAGTTTAATTGCACTCAAATTTATATAATGTTAGTTAATGTTATTTTAATTAAATTTGATAATTTGTTAAAGTAAGAATACAATCTTATGAGAAATACTATTTTATTTATTTTTTTGAACCAACGTTTTCTTTTGTAGCAAACTTTCTAACATTATATTATTAATTAAAGTTTAAAATCATATTTTTTTGATGAATTTTAATTTTAAATCAGAAGAACAAATTATTAAATAAAATGTGTGACCTCTCAAATTTGTGTTTTTTTAATAAATTTGAATCAATAAAAAGATGAATGTTGTTAGCATTCTTTGTAATTTTGATAAGGAACAATAAGATATATATTAAGTTATTTTTGTCAAAGAATAATAAATATTACATTTTTATTATTAGTTTTTTAGTTTGTTAAAATAGATCCTTAGAATTTATTTAAACAAGAAAAGTGTAATTTTTTTTATTATTTTTGACTGAAAAAGTGCAAGTTTTTATTAAAAAAAATTATTTGATCAGCCTACAGTGTAATAAGTTAATTTTCTAAATAAAAAAAATACTTTTAGATGTTTAAAATTTGTCCCGATAATTGATATCATTTTTTTCTTTCTTATTTTGATTCTTTTGAGTTTAATTGTTTTTAAAATCATAAAAATTTATCACTTTCCAAAATCATTAGACATTTAACATATAAAAATTTCTTTAACCAATTTATACATGGTTTATTAACTTTATACATTAAGTACATAGGTCAAGGAGTTAATTTTTTTAGTGTAATAAATAATTTTTGTAATTACAATATAATATATTTTAATTAAAAAACTTAAATATATAATTTTTGTAATATTTTTTAAAAATTATCCATTTACTCTATCCATTTCAAAATAAGTAAGTTTGTGATAATAAAAAAAATTACAGTAAGTGAAGTTTTAGGTTTTTAACGAAATATAAATTTTTTATTCCAATTTTACTTAAAAAAAAAAAAGTTGAGTAACTATAATGAATTTAACTTTGGTAATTATAACAAAAAAGAGTATGGTTTTTTAAAAAAAATTCTTGTGCACTTATTAATTTAATAAAAAATAATTATCACAGACATATGATAATGACAGACAAATATATCTTGTTTTCAATTTTCCCATGTAATTCACGTGCAAAGCTTTTGGCCTCTTTCTCTTGGATTGTCCAGCCAATTTATATTTTAAAATTAAAAATAAAGAACCCAATATTGGAAAGTCTTCTTCGTCGGCAAGGCAAACGCGGTTGAATCTTTTTACCTATAATTTGTTTTCAATCGAGAAATCATGTACCTTTTCCCTCACGGGATAACAAATTCTAATATCGTCATTTAATTCTCTCAACCCGCAACGTTGTCAACATTTACATTTATGAAACCAAACCTAACACATGTTCCTTAATTAAACGTTTTGGACGGGTGAAAGTTGGTTAAATTGGGCTCGAATTTACAGGAAATATTAGTTTAGTCAAAAATTTTAAATGTAAGGTTTAAGTATGTCTTAACTTCTTGATATAGACAAATTTTTTTTTAAGGTTGGTTTGATTTTTATAAAATTATAGCTTAATCTAAAAATTTATTTCAATTTTTTTTCTTCAAGAGTTTTACAAATGTGGTTCACTCATGATAAACATTTCAGTGATATATAATTTTTGGGTGGACATATCTATGATATCTTTTAAAAGGATAACAAACTAGCAAAATCAAAATATTGTGAAGAACGAGTGAATAGTTATAAAAGACATTCGACATTCAAGTTAATGAATATAAATTGTATTCGTAGATGTTTTTTAGTTGCTTGATACAAGGCTGAAGACCTTTCAAGAGTGATGTTTTCCATGTTTTTGGTGTATTAGAAGAATACTTTTTTATTTTATATTGAGTTATATTTGGGTGTTCAATATCTTATGTTAAAAATCTTGTTCTTGAATATTATTTGGGTCACCTTACACAATTTAGGTTAGTTGAATTGTTTGATTATATGAATTGACCTTAGGTCACAATAAAAAACAATTGTCCTCCAACTCGACATGCTCAAAGGTCGACTTATACGTTCTTGTGATTTCAAAAACTTTAATATAATTTTTACAGATGTTCTATATTTTTTTTGTGTTAATTAATTTTACCACCAAATTGTATTTATTAATTGTTATTAGAGTCATCTTAATTGTTGGAGAAGTTGAGGTAGATAAAGTGAGAAATAAGTTCAATATTATTTTTTTCTATTGACTGACAATTATATTTTACCCACATTTATTATTTTTCATTCTCTTTATAACTCTCGATGTTTTATGGAAGTTATATTTAAGAAAATTCATTTGTTTGATACATGTTATTGAATTTATCATTTGTAGTTAACTTTTCTATAAATTTAAACTCTACGGTGTAGGATACCATAGGCAAGAGCCAAAGAAAAAAAAAAATCACTCAAGTGACCCCAACAAAGAATATTTCATGTTGTAATGTAAAAGTTGTTTAAAAACATTGATTATTTTAATACAAGCATGAGAAAGAAAATCATTAAGAAGAATCTACTTCCATGCACCATTTCACAAAACTCTTTTTACTACTCCCATATTCAAGTTATAGCACTTAGAATTTTACTACTTTTATTAAAAAAACTTGATTGTATCATTTATAGGGGAAAACATTGATCAAATTATAAAATATAATTAAATATATCTTTTTGTGGTTTTGTAGTGTAGTTTCATTTGTTAATTAAACTAAAATTTAGTATGCATTGTAAAACATATAGTAAGAGTTCCACTTGCTCCTAAGAGGACACAAATAAAGTTCTCTTAGTGTTGAATGTACATTTTACCTACAGTATGAAACTTTGGAGCGTAAAAAATCTTATTACCATTTTCCCTAAAAAATTTACCATTGTACGCAGTACGTTTACACACCATTTAGGATGTGGAAGATAGGAAAATGAAAAACAATGGAGTGATTACATTTTTTTTAAAAAAAATCTTTCATCTATTTGACATGAAGACAAGAAAGGGAAAAAAAAGTGACTCATATACAAATGAAACTTAAATTGCTGCACAATAAAAACATAAATAATTCTTACTTAAAACATAAATATAAACATAAATAATTCCTACTTAAAACATAAATATCAATATCGTAATCGAAGAAAAAATTAATTACCCTTTTAATCATTTTAATTTCATAAAAACGTTTCATTTTAGTCTTTTGTATATATAATATTTATTCTCTTTTAGTTATTGTGTCTATTGCTATAATAAATAAAATTATAGAAATTAAAATAAAAAAAAATAGTATATATAAAAAGTAAAAATAATTTTTAATTATAAAAATAAAATAAAATAAAATATTTTTAATTATAAAATTTAAAAAAAGTAAATTTTATAAAATTATAAGAATTAAAATGGTAACTAAAAAAATCCTAATAGCCGAGGGTCATGTAGATGTAGTAGAGGTTAAACAGAGCGATAAGTAGAGGTTTATTAATATCATATCTTGCCCAAATTTTTCTCTATTGCGTTTCTACCCACTTCCTGTATGTATAGTAGTACACTATAATCATCCACACATAAACCCTAATTTACTTTCCCAACCCAATTCCAGAACAGAAGATAAAGATAATAGGTTACTCAAATACCTTGTTCGTTAGGGCTTTGATCGCGCGCCTATGGAAGCAGGTTTCTCGCATCGAAGCCAAAGGATTCGAGTCGGAGCGAGGTTACCTCTGAATTTTGCTTAATCTTTGCACTTTTTTTTTTGTCTTCATTTTGCTTTTTTTGTTCTTCCTATCTGTGTAGGCCGGTTTTAAATCGTGGATAAATCTCTTCGTTTTCTATAATGTTAAATGATTTAATTTAAGTTCTGCTTAAGCTATGGTTCGTTTTAGGTTCCTATCTACTACTGGCTAATAGTGTTACGTGAAAAATAAAATGCTCTACACTAGGTAAGGATTCATGTTCTGACTTCAGATAAATAAATTTTATTGAGTACGCAGTTCCAATTTAGAATATGAGTATGTTCAGTGTCACCTTTAACATCTACAATGCAGAAGGCTACTTAATCATGAATATTAAAGTGAATTGCACGAGAGTCATTCCGCTTATTTAAAATAAGGAACATTATATTTGAAACGTAGAGTGGGTGGAAAAGTGGATAGCTCTTCTATTTCTTTTGTAGTATCATAAAAAGATACTTCTAAAGTGGACTGGTGAAAGGGGATTATGCGTAAATATATAGTTGGATAGCTGTTTGGAAATGCTTAGATTTTCGGTACTGTTTGTTTGACTGTTTTATTGAATTCTCGGGTCCTTGATTTCTTTACAAAATTTTGTATAAATTATATTCAATAGATCATTTTTTTTACTCTTGGCAGGCACAATCTCTCAATGAAGTATTGCCCTTCCATTTAGGTACCACCTTCGCCGGATTATTGCGACAAACCTTTACCTCTTCCATATGTGTGGTACTTTTGGACATGTGAAACAATTGTTTGGGAAGTGAACTGGATCTGAAATCTGAATGTTGCTGCAGTAGTTATGGATTCTTCTGCTGTTGTGGGTAGCACAATTTTGGAGCCTCATAATGATATGGAATTTGAATCTCATGAAGCTGCATATTCTTTTTACAAAGACTATGCTAAGTCTGCAGGGTTTGGGACTGCTAAGTTGAGCAGTCGGCGGTCTAGGGCATCAAAAGAATTTATTGATGCGAAATTTTCATGTATAAGATATGGTAATAAGCAGCAATCTGATGATGCAATTAATCCACGCCCTTCTCCAAAAATTGGTTGTAAAGCAAGCATGCATGTGAAGAGAAGGCAGGATGGTAAATGGTATGTCTATAGCTTTGTGAAGGAGCATAATCATGAGCTGTTACCTGCTCAAGCTCATTTTTTTAGGAGTCACAGGAGTTCTGATCCACTAAGTAATGATGTTCGTATGCGAAGGCGGAAAAACTCAAATGCAGTTTCTAAATTATTTACCGCATATCAGAATGTTGATTGCTTAGAGATCTTTGTGAAACATCAACAAGATAAAGGACGAAGTTTGGTTTTAGAAGCAGGGCATGCCCAATTGCTTCTTGAACTCTTCATGCACATGCAGGAAGAGAATCCAAAATTCTTCTATGCCGTTGATTTGAATGAAGAGCATCGACTGAGAAATGTGTTCTGGGTTGATGCTAAAGGCTTGGAAGATTTTGCTTACTTTTCTGATGTTATTTCTTTTGACACAACATATTTTTCTAGCAAATATAAAATACCATTGGTACTTTTCATTGGAGTAAACCATCATATTCAACCGACATTGCTTGGTTGTGCATTGATTGCTGACGAGACAATATATACATTTGCCTGGTTACTGCAAACATGGTTAATAGCAATGGGAGAACGAGCTCCACAAGTGATTCTCACTGACCAAAATGAGGCTATTAAAGCAGCTGTTGCTACTTTTCTTCCAGGAACACGTCATTGTTTTTGTTTGTGGCAAATTTTGGAAAAGATACCAAAACAACTAGAATTTTTAGGTGCATGGCATGATAGCTTTATGGAAAAATTTAACAAATGTATATATAAATCATGGACAGATGAGCAATTTGAAAAGAGATGGTGGAAGTTGGTTGATAAGTTTGACCTTAGAGATGTTGAGTGGGTTCGATCCTTATACAATGACCGTACCTATTGGGTGCCAACTTTTATGAAAAATATTTCTTTTGCTGGCTTGTCTACTAGTTCACGCCAAGAAAGTTTAAATTATATGTTTGACAGCTATATCCAAGTTGATACTTCTTTGAGAGAATTTATAGAACGGTATAAAGTGATTCTTGAAGACAGCCATGAAGAGGAAGCCAAAGCAAATTTTGATGCTTGGCATGAAACACCTGAATTGAAGTCTCCTTCCCCTTTTGAAAAACAACTGTTGTCAGTCTACACACATGAAATTTTTAGAAAGTTCCAGGTTGAGGTTTTGGGTGCAGCTGCTTGCCATCTCAAGAAAGAAAATGATGGTGTGACAACTACTTATACTGTGAAAGACTTTGAAAATAATCAAAACTATACAGTAGAATGGAACACAACAAGCTCAGATATATGTTGTTCATGTCACTTGTTTGAATATAAAGGTTATCTCTGTAGACATGCTATTGTTGTTCTACAAATGTCTGGTGTTTTCAGTATTCCACCAAAGTATATATTGCAAAGATGGACAAATGCTGCTTTGAGCAGGCATCCTATTGGTGAAAAATTGGAAGAGGTTCAAACAAAGGTGCGGCGATTTAATGATTTATGTAGACGGGCCATAATATTAGGTGAAGAAGGTTCTTTGTCACAAGAAAGTTACTATATTGCTTTAGGTGCCATTAGTGAAGCGCTAAAGCAATGTGCAAATTTGAACAACTCTGTTGAGAATGGTATGAGACCTGATGCCTCAGGTACCAATGTTGTAGAAGAATATCAATCTATTATTGCGTCTAACAATAAGGCACCTGATCCAAAAATGAATACGGGAAAGAAAGCTGTGAGGAGTGGTGTAGCTGGTAGGAGTCTAGGAAGTGTTGAAAACAGTGAAGGAAATAAGGGAAAGGTAAGTTATTTTGGTGATTAATGATTGACCTCCCTGTATTTTTTTTTAATAGTTTTTTTACTTTATACATGTGTCTGAGTTTGTTCTCTTTATAGGTATCTCAGGTCGAAGCAGTGAGCGGCAAAGATGATTTTCAAGAAATGGTATGCTATTCCCAACACTTATTATTGTGGTCATAACTCATAAGTCTAGTTATATTTTGTTCCAATTTTCATGAGTAAATTCTGCTAATTCATCAATTTAATGAAAGACTTGTTTTCTGAGACTGAACTTTTGACTACTTTTATTTTGGTATATGCACAGAACAGGATATGGTATCCTCAAGCCATGAAAAAAATAAATTAAAAAAGAAAAAAGACCAGGGTGCTGGGGATGTAGTTGTAGGGCAGCAAATCCCTTTGCATATTGAATAAGTACATAACATCATCTTGAAACGCTCATTTGCCGAGCACAGGATAGAAGCCTAGAGAAAACACCAACCAAAAGCAAATATAGGGGAAAGGGAGGGATGTCTGCAGTACTGCGGCAACTATAGTGTTCTTTTTTTATGCTAGATTTACACATCACTCACTAGGGAGACATTAGCGTGAAACCTGCGAGTCTGTTGTATGCTGTTTTGCTGATTTTGATTGTTCGAGATTTTAACTATGCAATACAGCATTTGATGGAGAATAACGCTGTAGTGAAGGCTTGATTGATTGAACAGTTGTTCATGCTAGTATGTTATGTTATTAGGAGACTCAATATCCAACTGTTAGTTTTCACCTGTGAGATTATCAGAGCTTGATCTGATAAATAAGCAATGACAAATGCACGTTGAGATTTTGGGTTCAGAAGCGGAAAGAAGAGCAAGCTGAATTATATTTTTGACCCATTAGATAATAAATTATACAGATTATTACTTTTACATATCTTGTGTAGAAGGACCTGATTGTGCATTTGCAGATTCATTTTATATTAAGCAAATGCCAGCAAACGTTCGAAATCTTTATTCTTGATGAGAGCATTTTATAAATTGTCATTTAATTGAAGTATTAGTGAAAGCATGGGTATGATATGGTTTTAAATTTTGTGTGTTTGTTTGCATGTTACAGGAGGCAACTGATCTGAGATCACACAACGTCATGCCAATGCAGTTTCACAGTGTGGTACCCACTCTATTCCATAATGTTTCGTCATCATTTCATACTGCACCTTCAACACATTTGCACGAGAATCGTCTTCCTCGTTAGCTCGATAAAAATTTACTTTCAAAACGATGTGGAGACCATGTATAGAGCTGTACATAAGAAATGTGACTTCTAGAAGGCACTGTGCCTTTCATTTAATGGTATTTGTGTAGCAGAGAGGCCAGGTGGCAATCAAATTTGAGAGTTGTGCTAACTTGACTATCATTATATTCCAAAAACAGGTTCATCTTCAATGATCGATGTAAGTATCTCTTACTGTCTTTTTTTTTGTTAGTTGTTCTTAGTCCAATTTTATCATAAAAATTAAATTAAAAAAAAATGTACTTGGTTCACTGTTACTGAATTACTTGTAATAAAAAGAGTAATATATCAAATTAATCTTTGAAATGCAAACATTGATCATTTAATTCTTAAAATTCTAAAAATATTATTTTGGCCCTTGAATTATAAATATTGGCCATTTTAGTTTTTTTTTTTAATTTAAGGGATTAAAATAATTGTTTGATAATGTTAAGAATTAAAATAACTAAGTTTAATAATTTTTTTTTTGAAATCAAGTGATGCTTTTGTAATATTAAAAGATCACATAGATCAATAGTTCAATACTTATATTTAATTTAATGCATTAATGTGGTTTTAATGTATTACTTAATGCAATATTAAACTCATAAATTAAAGAATCGTAAACGAAACATGCTCATTTCAGCACAGTTTGAAGCTTCCTCACCTCTTTTGGTAACCAAATAAACTAATCCTGCACGATGTTCGTTGAACACTCAAAATCCTCAACAAATCATTTACTTTGGAATACTTTAGATTTTCTCTCCCAATTAAGCAAACGTAGGCCTATAAAACTCAAAACCTTTAAATTTCATCCGCATTATTTATCTCATGCATGTTGGATGCTCATCAAGCAAACCTTATTATAATTAATTAATGTAAACTGAATTTTAGTTCACGTAACTTGTTCGCAGGAAATGAGGATCAAACGCGTAATGGTCCTAGTTGAATGATACGTTTAATACGATCAATCTCACATATTAATTTGGATAACTTGTTAATATAATTAAATTTACGCTGATATTGTATTGCGTTAATGAAATTATTAACCTATTTATCTGAATTTAGAAGTTGTCCTCGTGTTTAATTTCTTTCATAAGGCTGATAATTAAAGTCGTTAAAATGATTTAATTAATGGTTTGGTGGGCCGAGCTAAAAGAAAAAAATAGTTCAAAAGAACTGAATTAATTTGGTTTGATTTGACAAACCAATTGGATAGAGTTGAATTAATAAGTTTCAGGTTTGAAACCAACCATATTTATATGGGTCAGTATTATTATTATTATTATTATTTTGTATTAGAATGAGAAATAAAAATAAGAAAATAACTAAAATTAGTCTCTCTAAAACACGGTTTCCAGAGTCCAGAGATTCAATTAGTAACAAATTAAAGAATTAAAAGATACTTTTGTAAAATAACTAACCTATCATTGCCTAAATCTCTCATTCGAGTCAAAACATCCGTACAACTATTATCCTCAACGTAAGGTGTGAACATTATTATTTTTTATTTATCATTATAATATAAATTATTAATCATAAATTTAAAATATAATTTATATATTCAAATATAGATTTTTAATTAGTTGCTTTTGTGTAATAAACTTAGATATCAATACATACAGTAATCCTACAATGGATATAATTAGTTGGTTTTGTGTAATAGAACATAATTTTAAATTACTTTGAACTGAGTAACATAGCTTAAAAATAAGCCAGATACAACGTTGTAGATGCTCAAAGTAGATATAAAAATAGAATCAAATTTTTATTTCAAAATTAGTCTGATAAAAAAAATACGATAATATAGTAGCAGAACAATATATTGAGTTAAGTAACATTAATTAATTTAATAGAATATAATTGAATTTGAATTATAATATATTTGTAATTACATTGTTATCCAATCTAATTATATATTATGGTAAAAATAAGATTACAATTTTTATAAAAAAAAATAATTTAAAAATTATAATTATAATGATTTTTAATTAGTTGATTGTGTAATAATATTTATAATAATGTACCAAAATTAAACTTATAATTTCTTTTTTACTGTCCCCCTATATTTGATATTTTAATAGGTGCCTTAATAATGGTACGTGCTTGTTCTTGCATTTGAATTTTCTATAATTGGGACTTATTGAAATAATAGCTTCATTGGATGTTGATTCAAGAAAATCAAGTTTGAGTTAGACCCAGTTTAGTAGGGGAAAATGTTCTTACCTTACCTGCGCTAGTTTGTGGGAAAAAAAAAAAAAAGAATATGCATTATGGATTGTGTGCGTATGTCTTTGTTTTTACCATGTAAAAGAAGTGATACTAAAATCAATGAAGAGATAGTGGGCCTTTCATTTATTTTTTCAGTAGAGACGGGATTTTGGGTTTAAACAATATAAATAGAGGTTTTGGGTTCTTGGTTGAGTTGGATTTAACCCATGCATGCATAGTTTGCATATTATTAGGCTGTTTATGATAATTTAAAATTTGACACGTGTATTTTTATTCTTTCAATTTTGTTGTGTGGAATTTTAGTTTTCGTAATTTTAAGTTAATTTTTTTAGCTGTGCCAAATTAGTCTCATACATTTTAGGGCGTTAAAAATATGTGTCTCCATTTTCCTGTCCCATATTTCGAAAATAGGCTAATAGATTTATTATTTTTTATTTGTAGGAGTTATAATGACTAATACTAAAAAATATTCGTAGTAAAAACCACTGATTTTATATATACTACTGATTATAGAAATCAACGATCATATAACATACACAACAATCTATATAATTGGATGATGGTACAAAAGCTTTTATAATAACAGTGTAGTTAAATTAAAATACAAGAACAACACATTCTCTAATATTTAAAAAAAAAAAGTATATAAAAAAGAAAGATACCATAACAAAATAATATTTATTTTTAGTTTTTTAGGAAAATATGGAGAGGTCTTAAAATATCGTGGAAAAGAGTAAATTACATTTGTCATTCCTTAAAGTTTTTAAAATTGATTAAGTAAAAAAAAATATTTTTTTATCCTTAACTAGCTCTCCTTAATTTAAAAAATACGACACTTACACTTCTTAAACATTAAATTTAAACTCCTTAATTATTTTAAAAAAATTGCATCATGTCGTCTATATGTAGCGAATATCTTGTACCTAGGCCTTAGTTTCTTTCTTTGCTTTTTCTTTGGTTTCCTTATTTTACTTATAAAAAAAATAAGGATGTTGTTATAAATGTTCTAAAACAGAGATAAGAGATAATATGAAAGAAAAGAAGAAAAAAAAAACGAAAAAGGGGATAAAAAATATATAGTTATTTCTAAAATATTATATATATATATAATATTCTATAAAAAATATATAGTTATTGGTTTATAATGATCTTCTATATATAAATATTTATGTGAGTATAATTTTTTTGGGGGAGGGGAGGATGCCAAAGCCACCCCAGTGCTAGATAAGTTAACCAGCCTGCTGATTTTCTGGCTAAACATAATCTATGTCTCTATTAGTTGTAAAATTAATTTTTTATACCCTTTATTTTTGTATTTGACTTTGTTGACGAATAAAGCTTCTAGATGTATATCCACTACAACACAAATAGTTTTTAGCAACATTTTCAAAGTCTATGTTACTAAAGACTTTTAATAATATTTTTGTATAATTAGACAATATTTTTTAAATGTTAGCAAAGTAGTATTTTTGTAACATTTTAATAATGTTGTTAATATTTTGTTAATTTATAAAATAATAATTAATTTTAATTTAGATATATTACTATTAATTATTATATTTTTATGCCTCTTAAACTCATAAGAATTCTTAGTTATTTTTTAGGAGAAGACATTCTTAATTAGTTACCACTAATTATATATAAAATATCAAATTTCATTTATCTTAAATATAACTATATGGTTATATATACTCTTTATGAGTCATTAATCTATTCGATGTGAGATTTTAATTATAGATAATAATTAAAGATAAAAGAAATATACTTTTTTACTTGATATGAAATTTTGATTTTAGAAGCAATTATAATAACATTTTTCAAAAAAATGTTGCAAAATAATCTATGTAAATTTTTTTTACTCAATATGGGACTTTAATTTTGAAAAAAATTAAAAAGAATAATATTAAAATAAAAATGTTACTTTATCTATAATAATATTTTTTAAAAAAGTGTTGCAAAATAACTTATTTATTTAATATTTAATAATATTTTAATAAATATAAACAATAATATGTTGCTAAAAGATTAAAACTTAGTAGTGATCCTTTTCGTAGGAATTCAAATTATTTTTATTTTTTTTTATAAGGGGAAAACATTTGTACTCTCCCTTAAACATAAAAAAAAAAAACACTTTTACAGATGTACAGAAAAAGCTTTCATAAATTAGTTTAATCAGTTGATTGTATATAAAAATTTTAAATATGTGTCATGCACAACAATATTTATTTTTAAATTAAACAATATCTTTATATGGATGTAAATTGAATTAGATTGTCACAAAAAATAAGAAAGAAAAAAGAATAAAATATATATGTTTGATATGGTAATATATATATTTGGACAAGACAAAGTGTTTGAGTCACCGGAATCTATGACCAATTACCTGTGTGAAGATCATTTTGCACATGCCCACACATGCTTTTCCACAAGCATCTTACCTTAACAAATGCCACAATCATGGGTTGTAACTCCCTTAGTCAATCTAAATTCAAACTTGAGAGCCTCCTGTACCTTCTGTGATCTATTTCTTTATACCAAAATAAATTAGGAATAAAAGGTTTGCATGCCACCTAACTGTCAGGTTTTGTGTGAAATCCTAGTGGAAACAAACAAAATCAAGATAGTAACTTGTTTATTTTTTTAATGCAATTAATTGTTCTCGCGGATAAGGTTTTCTCAACATTACTTGCCTTCTCTGGCTGGTCGGATTCTTCCTTGAGAGAACTACAATAATTGAAAACTTGCACATGTACAACAACAATATTTTACGCTTTAAAAAAAACAAACACATATATGTAGAAAGCAGAGTTGTACATATATATTAGTATATTACTAATTTATTATCATTAAAATAATAATAATAATAATAATAGTTATTATTATTATTGTTATTTGAAGTGAGGGAAAAATATAAGAAAAGATATGATGGGATTGTCCTTATCGAGCAGCAATAGTGATCCATATGCACAATATCTTCAAGCATGCAAGTGGGTCATTTTTCAGAGTGTGACCACAAAAAGGCAAGTGGACTCATTAACTAGGATGATCCTCCATTTAATTAGTTGGCGTAAACAGATTCTGATACCGACAGCAATTATTTTGTTAGGGAAATTAAATTAAATTAAATTAGGTTTAATGAAAGTGCATTAATTATGGAATTAAACCTCCTTCCCAGAATAAGGCAGGGGACAAAGATTTCGGTACCTCTAGCTCGGGGGTCACTCTGCATTGTACTATTGTCCATACATCCAACGTGACACCGTCCTAACCCCATATGCCTTACAAACCATAAATTATGAATTATTAGATTGTGTCCACTACGTGTTAATGTCCTAATTAATTACGATATAACATCTTATTGAAAATATTAATAACACTTTTAGTAATGTTCATCCCACAAACTAAAAGAATGAAATTCTAGTGATGTGATTCATTTACACGCTAGCTTTTGTTATTGACACGAATGAGAAATAATGAGTGAGAAGAGAGAAGGTCCCAATACAATTGTGAATGATGAGAATTAATAGAGAAGCAAACCTATGTAGCAGCAGTCTCATAATGTTAGTTTCTGGAGCTTTCTCCACCATGTGCATGCTTCAACACTAATCTCCACCTGTCACACCATTTCCTTCCACCCACAAACTTGTCCCATGTTCACTTGTTCCTCATATTTTCTTCATTTAAAAAACAAAAAAGAAAAAGAAAAATATTAACCAGATCATGTCATAGTCCAAGAAGATCACTTCCACAGCTACGACAATGTGAGGGGCAAACTCGTCACAAAACTCGAATCAACCCTATAAATAACATTCTCACGAGAATCCCAAACTCCCATGCAACAACACTTGATTCACCGCTTCATTAACTTCACTCACACACACAACACAAGAGAGACACTGTTACTGTTAGTGTTTTCACTCCACAACAGAGTGTATATATATATATGGTAATATAGTGCAAATAAATATAAATATTCCGAGAACGTGATTTCGCAATGTACGGCGTTAGGTCAATAACAGTGGTGGCGGCGGCGTTGGTATTGCTGGCCCTGAGCTCCGGCGTGGAGGCGTGTCCGCCGTCGGACAGGGCGGCGCTGCTGGCGTTCAAGGCGGCTCTCCACGAGCCCTACCTCGGAATCTTCGACTCGTGGACCGGCGCCGACTGCTGCCGGAAGTGGTACGGCGTGAGCTGCGACCAGGAGAGCCGCCGCGTCGCCGACATCAACCTCCGCGGCGAGTCGGAGGAGCCGATCTTCCAGCGCGCGCGCCGCACCGGC